TGTGTTTGTTTCTGGACTTTTTATTATGTTGCATTTTCCCCCAGCTCTCTATTCTGGGACCAAAACCATACTCATTTTTGTATGTTTATAATCCATTTTAAAATTGGTAGGGAAAACCTCTCTCATTATTCTTGCTTGTGAGATTTTTTTTCCTACATGTTCTTACAAATTTGTTTTAGTGGAAAATTTTAAAATTATCGGACATAACATCTATTATGTGGGTTAAAAAATATTCCAACCCACTGGAATTTCTCAATGTCTTTTGAGTGGAGAACTGGTATCTTTACACCCTTGAGTCCTCCTACCCTGAAATAGATATTTCTTCACATTTATTAAAATCTTTTTAAATGGGTGGTAGAGTTTTCTTCAAAGAGGTCCTACACATTTCTTAAGTTTATGACTATGCGTTTTACATTTTCTGTAGCCATCATGAATGGGATGTCTTTCCTTTACATTCCCTAAATGGCGATTGTTTGTTGAAGGGTTTAACAAGGTCAAGGGGCACCATGGCTGGGTGGGGGTGGCCTGGCAGGAGGCCACCTGGACAGGAACTGTGGTGTCTTTGGGGCCGGTTGCCGCAGAAATGGTGCTTGGGTGCTCTGCAAGCTTTGCCACTTCTGTTTCCCCAGTTTTTCTCCTCACTAGCAGCTTTTTCCTCCCTGAGGCTTCTCTGAAAACTCTTTAGAGAGTGACTCAACCCCCAGTTCTTATTGAACACATCCTCTGGAAACAGGTCTCTGAGACCAAGAGTTAGATTTTCAAGGAGGTGTGCACGTTGAGGAAATCTCGAGATGACATTAGAACCCTCTTCTCTGAAAAAGTCAGAACACTGTGTGCGCCCCTCTCCCCGTTCCTCAGGCTCCAGCACGTACAGAGATGGCTAAGCTGCCAGGAAGCTGCTTCCTATTAGTCTGGGACCTTTAGGAACCATTTCTCTGCCTCTTTTTTGAAGAGGAGGCTGTTTGAGATTATGGTAAATTGGAAAGAGCACCCTGGAGAGGAGACCTGGGAGATGCCAGGAGAGTGAATACAATGATTTCTTCCTCCTTCTTTTCTCACCTCCCAAAATACCTCTGACAGCTAGGCCTGGTGAGAACAGGACATTTTAAAAAATGAAAATGGAAAACTCCTAAAACAGCTTCCGTATAAAAAGACTGCAGGAGCACATGTATGTGGGGGAGACAGAGGTTCTGTGGGAGTGTGATTTAGGAAAGTGGGGCATCTAAACAAGGACAGCACAAATAACAAGAGCAACAACTCAAATAAAATGATGCCTGACATTTACTGAAAGACGACTCCAAGGCATATCCCGTTTCTTCCCTGCTCTGACCTTGAGGAGATCCCCATCCTCCGAAGCTCCAGCCGTTTCCTCTCCCCCCAGGAGTGGTTCAATTCAATTAGTTCTATTTCTAAGATGGGGCTCTAAAGACAGGACAAGCCCTGCCTTGCTCCCTGGAGCCAGCGCTTCCCATTTCCTGTATCCAGCAGGAAACTGACCCAGCAGGGCCTGCTCCGGGCAGGACTCCCCAGGCCTCTGCTCTCTAGGTTGCAGCTTTTCCACCTGGGCCTGGGTGGGTGTCTGTCACTCCTGGAGCCTGCGACCAGGTCAGGCTTGGCAGGCCAGGGGTGGGAGCAGGATGTCATATAAGCCAAGGCTCCAAAACCCAGCACCTGCTCCACTTATGTTCTGTAAGATTTTATTTACAAAACATACATTCAAAGATAAAAGTATAAACAATCTCAAGACAGCAATGGCTGAGTATTACACCTCGAAGGTGAAATCCTCCTGAGCGACCGTGCTCTAGGGAGCCAGCTCAGATCCTCAGTTAACACTTTTCATCTATTTCTTAGCTGATTGGAAATTTGGGGCAGGAGGACAAGGGAATAATTACCACCACCCTCCAAGAGCCTCCAAAAGTTCCATGAACTAGGCACGTACTTACATCACCTCTAATCTTCAGCTTTGTGGGCAAGTGTTGTTATTGTCACTGTACAAAGAAGGAAACTGAGGCTTAGAGATTTAAATAATTTGTTAAGGCCATAAAAGCTAGTAAGTGGTAGAATTAAAATTCAATCTAGCTTTCTTAGGCTCCTGTGCTCTTTTTACCCTATAATGCTTCCTTCAAAGTAGCAAACGTCTAAATGAAACCATCTAGTACTTAGAGATGCCTTGCTATGTGACCAGTATGGTGCTAGATCCTGTGGGGGAGATGCAAGAACTACCATTGAGGAGTCTGGAGTTACAGCTGTGATATCTTTGGTTTTCAGGTTTTGCCTACCACGCCTATAGCTGGGTATCTCAAACCATGTCTGTACTAGAGATTGTACTGTCAGCATCTCCCTATTTTTGCCCACATTTGTTCTAGGTTACCAGGTTCCTGGCCACTGCTCACTGGGCCAGTTTGTCTCAGGATACAAAGGCTCTATCGGCCAGTGGAGCTACAAGGTCATGGAGACCCCCCTCCAGGAAAGCCAGGAGCATGAGTGGCTTCCAGTTTTGCAGTATGGAAACTGAGTCTTGCAGAGGGAGTAGGGCAAATGAATAGAGGGAGCTGAGAAACAGTTGGACCGAGGAAGTGCCTTTTAAGTATTCTTAAGATAACCTGTATTTTACTTGAGTTTCTGTGATGGAATTTCTAATCCTAGCAACTAAGCAATGCCTGTCCAGGCCATACCTATGGCCCAAACGAAGCTTTCTGGGGCCAGGGAACCTCTTAATTCAGAACTAAACCTTTATGTAGAACAAAACAATAGGCTTTTAAACTTTTAGCCAGCCCCTGCTATATGCTAGTAGAAGCAGATAGGAAGTGAACATGTATGAAGTCTTTCCCATGTGCCTGCCAGATACTTAAACCTTAAATTATTATTTAATCCCCCTAAAACTCCCTTAAGATTGTCTTATTATTTCATTTCTTATTATTTCATTGTCTCATTATTTCATTATTTCATTGTCTTCATATTTCAGTAGGGCTAATTAACATGAAGAGGCAAACATAGCAGTAAGGAGGATGGCTTAGAATAGAGTTCTAGGTTTCAGTGTTGGCCCTCCTCCCTTAAGGCTTTATGACTTTGCTTGTTTTTAAACTTCTTTTACAAACTTCAATTTCCTTATCTATAAAATGGGGGACATAATGCCTACCTTACAGGGAGTAGTGTCGATTAGATGAATGCAGTACAAGCACAATTGGTGGACATTCAATAAATGTTAGCTCTAATAAAGCCCGAAGTGGCAGGGCTGGGCTTCACACCCAGGTCCGTTTGGCTTCAAAGCCCTGGCTCTTTCCACTCAACATTGGCCCCTCAAGGGCTAACACAGATCTCTCAACCACTCCAACACAAGGTATCTCGCAAGGAGGATGTAAGGCATTTTAGCTAAGCATGCTGTTACCTGTGCTGTAAATCTGAAAGCTAACAACACATTCATGTGTGTCCTGGGTCTGTGACTCAAGTTATATGATTTTGTTTTACTTGGAAAACCACAGGGAACAGGAGAAAGAAATCAATGAAATTAACTTTACTCTGATTCTTCCTGAAACTTTCAGGCTCAAATAGGGAATCTGAAATAGGTAGATCTTAGAGTAATGGTGCACCTAAATCAGACCCCTGGGCATGAGTCATAGGCTCTTGAAAGAGCAATTTCAAGTACGGTTTTGGAAATCTGGTAATACCAATCACGTCTGTAAGCACATCTTTAATTTTAAGGTGCTCATACATGACCCACCATGTATTAACTTTGATCAAGTCACTGAGCCTGAGCTTTATTTTTCCTAACTTTGAATAACCCAGTACTTCCTTCCTATCTAACAGTGATGCTATGAAGATAATGAATGTAAAGGCACTTCATAAATTGCAAAGTTGGAGATAAAACACTCAAGATTCAAACTTTTGTGTAAATAGTTCAGTTTGAAAAAATGCAGAACACAATATAAATGTGGAGTCAAGACTTGGGCTCCATTTCCAGCTCTACTCCTGATTCAGACTACATATAAACTGTGTCCAAGATTCCAGTGGAAAATGCTGAAGTAATTAATAAGGTCTTTAAAACATTTAAAATAAATAGCATGTAATAAGTAACATGTTAATTTTGCTTTAAAAAAATTCTGTCTTTAACCTTACCAAGGCTTGATATCATTCATGGCTGAGGAATCCTATGTATGTGTCTCTATCTGTAGAAGGTTCGATTTCTCATCAGAAATTTTCTATCAAAAGTGGTCCCCTTAAGTCACAGCAGGTTTAGGAAAATTCAATTCCCAAGAGTACTGCTTTTGTGGAGCACAGCTGTGTCTCTCCCTCCCACTTCTCACAAGATAACAAACAAAATCCTATTTCCAAAGGTTATGTATTATTTGATTTGAAACTTTCCCAGGCTTTGTATCTAATGCATGTCAGTGTTCTCCTGCAAGAGAAACATGGTAGTTGAGTACACCAGGAGAACACAAGTGAGCGCCACATACTTCCTGAGACTGTTTACACAGTTCTATTGAGCCACCGGGAAAAAAGAAGTGCCTGGAGAAGTGAGAGACAACCACCGCTATTCCAGACACACGCATGAGGCGCTTACTGATTGACGACACTCTTCCATACCAACATGTGGTCCACAATGGAATCCCTCTAATCTTTCATCACACTCTTAAAAAACACATAGAAAATATTATGAATTAATTGACCTTAAATCAATTTGAGAGAAATGAGGGGGGAAAGTTAATACACAAAGAAACACAATACAAAAATTACACAATGTTTTATAAGCTACATAAGCTCCTCCAACAAAAAGTCTGGGACACAGATTTGGTTATTTAGATCAAAAATATTTATTACAAGTAGATTCCCTTTTCCCATATTAAAAAGAGAACATAGGACTAGAAACATTCAGAGAATGGAAACCAGATTAAACCTATTCCAAAGTCCATTATCAACTTAGGTATCTCTAAAGAAAAAGATATTTTGGAACTTAAAATTAGAGAAACCTATATACAATTTAGACAAAAGAAAAGAAAAAATGATCCTTCATATTTTACAGTCTTTAATTAAGCACATAAAACTGTACTATTTGATATATTTCTCCATGAACTTTTTGTGAAATTCTGATCGCAATGTATCATTTACAAATCTTTTGTCTTTCTTCTGATCATCTACACCTTTTGCACAGTTCTTGAAGACAACATCATCATCCCACCTGAAGGGAAAAAAGAAAATAGAACGTCTTATAATGTTTGTATCAGGGGACAAGAATACCATGTACATCGCAAAGCTTAGTCATTACACAGAAAGATGCTCAACACGTCCATCATTTGATGCAGCAATTACACACAACAGAATAAAGCAATTGTTAATATATAATCTTGCTTTATTATAGCAGGAAGGGTAATTCCTGTTTAGAATAAACAAAACATTCTTGTTACTTCTCCATTAAAAGAAACTTTTCAGTCAAAAAGCAGAAATACATAGATTTGAATTGCATAAATACTTAGTCTTCAGGTCTAAAACAAAGAGGCAGTACCTACAACTACTCTGATATTACCATAGACATCTCTAGATGATAGTAACTGATCAATTTACTATAGTTTAATTATGAGGTTTTGAGGATTTTATATATTCTTCTTTTATCAGTTAACATTTAGTAATCATCTACCGTATTCACATTATAGGACAACAAAAGGAGAGGGAACAACTGGGGTATAACAATTAAGGGTCATATATGGCCCATATCTACATTAACCACAGAGAAGATAAGCTGATAAACTCAGGGCAGAACTCTGGTTAGATTCTTCTGGTTGGATTCCTTAATGCATAAGCATTCAAAAAACACCCATGGGAGAGCTATAAAACACGTGTGTTACAGAAAACAAAGCATGATTTCAGAATATCATCTAGCATATAAAACACAAGCCCATATATACAATACGGATACTTTCGCAAATATAAATAAAATACAAGCCCATATAATGTGTGTTTGTGTGTGCACATGTATGCATGCCAAGGGAAACTGCACATGGAACGTAAAGAATGTGGGCACCTCTGGAAAACAGCGTTGGCAAAGTCATCACTGATGCAGTACACAGAAACATAAAAAACTGAGCAGGCTGATACAACTGTAATGTAAGATATGTTTCTATCTCTAATTCCAT